GGGGTGCCTGAAAAATCTTTATTTTTTGATAATTTTTGAACATCCACTCCCAAAAGAGAAGGAAATTGTGAGGAGAAAAAACAGGGCACGTAGAATGAGAGTGTCTCAGTTGGCAGATATAGTTGCTTGGATCCAGGAGACATAATTGCAAACCTTAGTGTAAACCCCAGGATATCCCTTCTGTGCACATCCAATGCCCCAGGAAACAATGCCCTGGAGCTGCCCATTGCAGACCACTGGACCGCCGGAATCCCCCTGTGCACATAAAGGACACAGATATTCAGGAAACGGAATCAGCGTAAGGGATGAGCCACAGATGCCAGAAACCACTGACATTTGAGGGAGCTTCACTGGGCTTTTTCTACACAGAAGTTCTACAAAGGTCACTTCTGATCACCACCCTACACACAGTAAGGCCACTGTGCCTTACTTGAGCTGCCTGTTTTTGATGGATGCAGTCCTTGGCAGGCACATAGGATATGTGTGTCTTAAACATCATTCTGCCAAATATCTCCATGGACTAGGCACATGTAAAATGCAGAGCAATTGTCAGACATGTTCATTTCCACAATGCCTGGATCTTGGCATACTGGCTATTTCATTTTCAGTGAGTCCACAACTAACATGTGCATCCTAAGCTCCAAAGTCACCGTCATTGCTATTGACTCTCTGGTGCAGCGCTTCTCCACTTTCAACAGCCTAAGCTGTAGGAGGTGGCATAATCTGCTTGTGGACAATTAAGGAAGAGGTATTTGCTGTCTCAAGAAAGGGACAATGACTCACTGAGTGGAAAAAAACCCAGTAAGCAACTCACTCAGTAAGCAACTTCCACCCTAAGGCTCCTCTCTTGTTCAAAAAACCAACATTCAGACATGCGAGTGCAGCGAGTATAGCAGGTTCTCTAATAGGATGGACTCTCCTACTAGCAAAAGGCAGGAGACAAACATTTGGGAAAGGAGAGGCAGATGTTTTACCTGGCAGGAGTCTTTCCCTCCCTCCAAGAATCCTACACATATCATGTTAGTGGTAATTCGCCCAGGGTAGGATTTGGAGCACTCGCTTGAGGAGAGTACAGGAGCTTCCAAGCACTGCAAAGTGTCTGGGTACAGATCTGCAAGAAAATAGAGAGAGCAGGTTCATGACATCTCTGACTTCATGTCAGAACCCAAAGAAGATTGTTCTTAGCAGAAAAGGAATTACTGAACACCCTGTTATAGACATTGTCATTTTTCCTCTGAACTGTAATCACAACATGGGTTCCTTTTGTTTAGATGGAACAGATTCTGCCCACGGGTCCACAGATCTACACTGCAGCCACGGTAATTTTCCTGATAGCTAGAAAATCATCAATTGGCAAGTGTGGAGCTCAGAGCTACTCTTGTAGCACACATGCTGGAGGAAACTTGCGCCTCAGGAAAACCATCCTTTCCTCTGTTGCAGGTTTAGTTGTCATCACTGGACTAGACAGCACTCACCATCCACACCTCTGACCACTGGTGTAAGGGGATGGAGATCACTTGTGGCAATTTTAAATCCACAGTCACAGATTTTGACCTTGTTCTCAGAGAACTGACAGCTCTATTGGCATTAGTTAAATTGTGTTTGGCACCGCACGACCGATCGTGCAAGGCCACAAAATTTATGGCAGTGTGAACTTGCCGGTGAACACCATGTGGATGACTTGAGTGGTTCCATGTTTGTTACCCAGAACAAGAGGAAGGACCTTAGAAAGGCTTGCCTTTAAAGCAATTAAATGGCTCCTGTGCTACACAGAGCGATCACTCACAAGCGCCTGTCACTCAGCACTCCTCTCTGCTTCCCCCTGTATGGTTTGCCATTAATTGTGCGGTCTTAGAGCCTCTCCCAGGCCCTGGTGACGCTGTACGTTCCCACAGAGTACTCACTGGCATTGCTGAGGGTGTTGCCCCAGCCGGAGACGAGGCACGTGGTGCCTGTCGCCACACAGCTGGTAGGCAGAGGAATTGTTTGGACAGCTCGGTTGAGCTGGGCTGGTTGGGCAAGCTTGATGAGCATAATGTCATTGTCCAGCGTTGCGGCGCTGTAGCCAGGGTGGCGGATGACTTTAGCTGAACTGATCAACTGCTGTGTCGACTCGGTGAGCGCCAGGTTGTGTTTCCCGAGCTGCACCTGGATGCGACTGGAAAAGAGAAGGAATGGCATCCACTTTATTGCTACCAACAGCTTATGAGGAGCCTCCCCGTCACCGTAAGCGCTCTCTTCAACTTTGCTATCCTAGTAGCTGTTTCCCTGCAGGTTTTCCTTCTTTCCCTGCAACAAGTCCTGTGGATCCACTCTGAGATCTTACCCACTCCCAGTAGAGGTGGTGAACTTCTGCAGCTTCAAGCAACCAATTTCTTCAACCAACAATTTGCTTGAACTGGGACAAATTAACTATGGAACGGTGCTTTATGCAAACTGTGTGAAAAAAGGCAAACTGCTGTCACCCTGAACTCAGTCCTCTTCCTGCTCTCCAGTGACTACGTTTTGGCAAGATTAATGCCATTTATGAGAAATCATGGCCCATAACTCCTTGCTAGATTATCACATTGTCATTTCAGAAAGTGCTCTGCTTTCACAGCAATGTTTGCAGAAGTGGAAACCCCTTATGATGCCTCAGCCCAGGTTCCTGAATGAGCCACCCATTCCTTGGTGTCTCCTGTCAGAACGGAGCCCCTCGCATATTTGGATCTCACAGCTCAGAATTCCTGCGAGAAGTGAACTGGAAGAAAGAAGTAGGTTATGGAAGA